CAATGAGGAATTTAGAAGTAATCACAACTTAGCTTGGCTGCATGCTTACAACAACTAATCACTCCTGCACTTCAAAAGAAGACTGCGCCCTTCTTAGGGACTCATCGCAGGAATTGCGCCCCCCAAGGGACCAACCATGCTCTCCAGTGCGAGAGGGTAAACCAATTCTCCGACACCCATATGGGTTAGCTCTCCAAGACGGGAGGATAAACTTTACACTCCGAATATCCAGACGTGGATGAGTCTGGCTGCCCTAGTATAACTAGATGCACGATGGCTTGCGACGGGATTCCTAGAAGTAGCCGCAATGGTCTTTTTCAAGGCTTAGCTAACTGAAGGATTTTGGGTCTCTTGGCCTAATCCGTGGGGAACCGGGCCCTAGAGACGGAGAGGGCACATTACGCAGTACATCCGATGGACGGTTGCCCTGGAATCCTAAAGCTGCTACCGAGTGCACTAAGGTAGCCTACGGATTCCGGAAGACTGCCTATGGCTTGCCCTTCGAGCAGTGAAGCCGCACTAGACTTATACAACCGCACATTCTTGTGAAAAGTTAAACAAGCTAGCGCGCATATACGAAGTTTTATCCACTGCCGACATGCTACGTAGTCGATAAGCTTCACCTCTGCCAAGCGCGGAACAACCTACACCAAGTCCTAAAGTGTTGTGATACTTGCTACGCAACCTACGGAATTGAAGAAAGTCAAGGTTAACAGCCTAGTGGTTACGCGGACTTGTTTGCTTCTGTAAGTAAGGCATCCGGCTGCCAACCCTATGGCTAACAACTTTGCAAAGTTCTACACCAACACCTACGGCTGCATAGGCTACGCAAGTTTGTCTGCTTATAAAAAAGTAGCATGCCTGCCACTGGTCTATCAAGTCTAAAGGTTAGGGCATGAACAAAAGAAGTGAGATGAAGAAAAACGAAGGAAAACATGTTTATAAACAACTAGCAAAGGCCGAAGGAGTTCAAGCAAAACAAAAGCTACAAGGAAAAACAAAGAAAATCCTAAAGGCTACCTAAAATACTACACTACAGCAGCTTGGACATCCCACGACTACTCGGTCGCCACACTTTCAACAGCCGTAACGCTCTTAGCAGCGGCATCATCCGACGCTTCACCCCTGGCTGCCCCAGTCTGGGCACTAACTTCTCCAACTACTTCACCAATGGAAGCCTTAAAAGTAAAAGCAAGCAAGTCTTCCGAAGAAATGGAGAAGGTCTTAAAACCTCAAGCCCATCATTCTCACCCTTCAGCTGCTCATTCTTCTTAAGCAGACTAACATGGACGCGCTGCAGCTCATCCACTACCTTCTTAGCATAAGTAGCGAAACGAAGCTCAGAAATTGCAAGCTTAAGATCTTGAATCTAAGGCGAATCAATCTCAGCAGCAAAGGGAGTAGGCTTTGGCGCCACTTTAGCAGCAGAGTCCACCTTACCACTCTTCATAATAGCAAGTCTCTACAAAGGTGAACCGGACTTGGCTCCCAAAGAACGTCCTGGTACAGACTTCGGCACTGGGGGCATGATAAAACCTTTACGCTGAGCAATCTTATCCAAAATTGTACTAGCCATTCTCAACATGGAAGACGCCACATGCTTAGATCTAGCAGCCTTATTTTTCTTCCCATTAGAAGAAGTCATGTCAATCACATACCTTTCGGTAGCAAGCGGACCCTCATGAGCAGCAGAAGAAGTCTTCAGTTTTTTTTTAACTAGGCATCTCATGAGCAGGCGGGGAAGATCTATTCTTTCCATCTTCATTCATAGTAAGCTCCACGACAGCGATCAAACGAGCCAATGCATCCGCCTTGATCCTCTTTACCTCATCTTTCTGGAGCAGCCCACATTTCTTTCAGCAAAGAAGACTAAGCAGCCAACGACATTCATGGTACTCAGCAAGGGAGCTCAACCCAGCATTCCAGCAGGCAGAAGGCCTGCATGCCCAACATTCCAGCATTCCATGAGACCCGTAATCTCCTCATTTCTCTCAATCGCCAGCCTGGCCCGAGTCAAGTCCAAGAGCCCAAAGGACATTAGCCATGCGGCTCGCCTAGCACTGCGCCCCAGCGCCACAATCCGCGACCCCAGCCGCACAAGCTGCCCTTGGCTCAAGCCAAGCCAAGTCTGCCCAAGCAGTGGTCCCTGCCACGACATCTCCTCGGCCCATGCCGAGCCAACTCCTGGCCCCTGCCAGCCGACGTACTGCACCACCCCGACGGCTGCCCCGCAATAGCACTAATCCAAGAAGAAGGCAAGAAAAATTAAATTTTTCTTACATCGGTGCAGCACGGAGAAGATGAAGAAATCAACGAAAAGACGGTCCTTTGCACGGGCAAGATGTAGAAGATTGCTAGAGGAGGGGGAACAAATATCCTCTAACTTTCTCTCTCTTGTGGGGTAGAATAAATTGCTCTCCAAAGTTGATTTAATAACCCACTTAAGGTGGACTTAAATAGGCTTTGAGAGAAGTTTATTTCCCTTTCCTAGAAGGGCCTAATTTCCAATTAAAGAGAGAATCAACATCAAAATAAGAAGCAATCCTACGTTTCCTAAAGCAAGAAGATCTCTACACCTGCTGCCCTTTCTCCGAGCGAGCAGCCCAACAGGTGTGGGGGCATTTGTGGAGCCAAAAATATTCACTAGGCGACACGTAGATTTTTGGACAAAATAGGACAAAAATACCCTGGAGGCATACCGGGTCTCCTACACGCGAGCAGTGGAGAATCATCCATCAACCAAGTCAGGAGTACCCAAAATGGGTAACAATTCAAAACCTATTTCATATATGTTTTTACCTCATTTTTTCCTTATTCAATTAGCCATTTATTTCAAACATTCCATAACATCCTCATCTTTCCCATTTTCCTTATTAAAATAATCATTCATTTTTATAACCACCCATTTATTATTTTCATATTTAATTAGCCAATAAATTGGCAAATTAAACATGAAATTAACCCCCACAAAAACCCTATGGCTGGCTACTATTATTCAAATAGGGCAAACCCTAACTCTATAAATAAACACATATTCTCACCAAAAATTCATTCCAACTCTCTCACAAAAAATCACAAATACTCTAAACACTATTTCTCTCTAAAATTCTAACTTTGGCATCGGAGGTTCTTCGGCCAAAACCCCCCCCCATTCATCGTGGGGGCGTGAGGCTCTTGGCCTTAACCTAAGGTGCTAGTTGTTTTGTAGGTGCAAAATCGTCCAAGATCGAAGAGGAGAAAATTTGCATCCACACACCCCATTTGACTAATCCAGTTGTTTAAGTTAACCAAGATAAAATGAGTTGATGATGAAAAATTGGTCGTTTCTGTTTTTCACCTTCATTTTGTTATGAACTGATGAAATTGACATGAAAAAAGTTGGTAGGTGCAAGTCACGTGATCAAACTTACCAAAATCATAGACAAAAATTTATGTAAGTGACGTTTTGTCCAAAGATTTTAAGTCTAAGTAATTAACCGTAATTGTTGACCTTAAAAACTACCAAGTCTACGTGGCGCGCAGACCGAATAATTAGTAAGTTAACTACGTCCTTCGGTTGTATGCAGGGCGTGTCAACTCGTCGGCCGAGCTCGGTCGAGGAGTAAAATTTGTTGATATTGCGTTGGGTGCGCTGCTGACTTCTGAATCTCGCGACTGCGGCCAAGGAAGGAACTTGTCGGCCTTCGGGTTCTAGAGCCTGAAGACAAGGCTGCTAACTTAGAGAAGTTCAATATCAAATTCGGCTTTCAATGTGCCGAATGTAGTAACTTATAACACCTCATTTTGCCGAAAATGCTAATGAGATGACCTCGACCAATAAGGATCCGGAAATCCTTCTCGACCGAGACTTGGATAAATAACCAACCATCCTCGCCGCAGTGTTGTTGATGCCAACGGAAGATGCTGCGAGATCGGCTGATTCTACGACGACAGAGCTATCTATGCCGACTAAAGATATCACCGGTTGCTTTCACAGTGCTGTTGATGTGTCAACGAAAAGAGAAAATAAAAAAAAATCTCAAAGTTGTTGAGAGAGTTTGCGCAGGGTAGTTGTGTGTTGAATTGGAAGGGCCTCAAACGATGCACAACCTCCTCTATTTATAGCATCGGATATCTTCAAGGTCAAGTTAAAAACCTACCCGGATTAGGACTTCTTCTCCCAATCAAACTCCAACTCGACCAGTCCTTTTTCACTATACTTTTGAACCCAGTCCTATATCGAGCCAGATTCACTTCCGAGTTGTTAATCTCGTCGAGACTCCTCATTGCACCAGGATTCGACTCGTCTTGCAGCATGACTTAACCAACCCAGGTTTGGAAGCCCATGACCTAACCGATCCAAAACTAAACGATCCCTGATAACCTTGTCGTAAGGCCTTCTGGGCCGAGAATGATTCTCTACTCGGCCCACGCTGATATTTTGGGCCCAAACAATAATTTTTCTAGGAGTGGTGCTATCCGCACTTTTTCTTTTACTTCTCATACATTATTTGTTAGTTTTTGTTATTTGATCATCTGTTTTTGTTATTTGATCATCTCCAATACATTTAATTGGATGAAAAAAAGTGAAAAGCCATGTAAGTGTGAATAGCATCAACTTTTTGCACGTACAAGTGATAAAATAAAGATTTACAAATTCATTCTTTTATGCATGCTCACTTTCCTCAGAGAAAATCCCTCAATATTTGGATGATCCGACCCAACTTGGATTTGTGTGGACTAAAACAACAGCCTTCGGTCCAGGGCCCAGCCCAGTTTAATAGAATACCTTAAGATTTGGAGGCATATGGGACGGTCAATCTTCCAAATGAGGATCCTTTCCGAATCAAAGCGCATTTCGGAAATCTTACAATTATATGAATATATTGTATATTGTGCGATTAATTTTAGTTATATACTTTATATATTTAATTTTAAATAAAAAATTTATAATAATTTTTAACCGATGATGTATGATGAATAGACGTGAGGATATCTTCGGAATGAGATCCTCATTCCAATCTCCAACATTTTGTCTGCGCCACAGCGCCACCTCAGCAACCCGGATATCAACGGTTATGGTAGGGACTCGTGACCGTTTTCCATAAAGCCCTCCACCTTTTCGACACTTCCACCACCTTCCCCCCTTTTCTGCGCTAAACAACACAAAAGACACAGCAGCTTCAACGTTGCTCTCTGTTTCTCTGCAAAACCATGGCAGGAGGTACGATAAGATCTCATCCCTTCAACTTTTTCAGCTTTATTTTTGTGGGTTTTTTTCGAAACACTGATCAGATTATGAATTCGGGCTCTTCAGATCTTCCTGGGTTTTACTATGATGGGAGAAGAATAGGTACTTCCCACTCAAAGGCCCCATCCCGGGCTCTCGTCGTATGACTGCTTCTGCTTCTTCCAGAGCTCAGACGCCGGCCAAGGTACGCTGGTTGTTCTGCATTTGAACTTTGAACCCAAATTTTTTGCTTTTCCAGGTTTGCATGTTGTTAGCAGTTTTTCCTGTTTCAAAGTTTGTATCTTTGTTGTTTTTACTGTTTTTAAGCTTGACATTGCTCTGGATGTTTCTATTTTTTATGGGCTATCACTTGGATTTATGTTTTGTTGCTACTTGTGTTTTGGTTGGGGAGTTCACTTTTGTGTTCCAATTGCTTTGTTGAAGCTCTTTAGTTACTTATAGTGAGTTTTTCATGTCACACTAATGAGAGGTTACTTACAATTGTCATTAGAATCGAGCTAGTTCGAAAAAATTTATGGCTTGCTGGGAATTTTGTGTATTTAGTATTTACACCTTAGAGTTAGAGAATTGCTATTAGCACTCTAAAATGGCATGCCAAGAATTTCATGTCATACAGGATGAATATTTTGGTTTGTCGACTGCAGCTCCCATATTAAAACTTAGATAAATGGAGTGGTTAGCTGAGTAAAATCTGTTGCCGTTTAATTAGTTCGATAGCCGCAAGATCATGTCCTTGTAGTGATAATTTCTTTTGCTGTGGTTAGCATATTAATGACCTTAATCATAGATTAGTGTCCACTGTTGTAAGGTTGCAACTAAACTAGTGAATTTCTAGGCAGGCATCCCTTTTATTATATGTATTTTGCATCGTATTACTTATTGAACACATAGATGTAAAGTAGTTGTTTCTTCTCTGAGATTACCATAGCTTCTTATTCTCTGTTTTGTTATGCTTTTATTACGGTGATTTACATAATTGTCAAAATACTTGACTCTGGCTGTAATTCATCTTGCTGTAGGCGAACAACTCATGTAGGCGAACAAGTGTAAGAACTTCTAAGATGCTTCAGGCTAGGGAGTTATGCGGTAATCTCATTCCTTTCAATAAGGGAGGTGTAACTTCAATGAGGAATTCCAAAAGGCACAAGCATGCCATCCTGTGGTATGTTAATGTAGGCCTTCAGTTTAAGATTTTAAAGTTAAGTTTACCAATTAGCACATTATGATTTCCACCAATTTGTTTCCAGGTTTTACTTTCAGCTTGATTAGTGCCCTAATTCATACTGACAGATTTTTTTGTTCTTTTTTTATTAGGAATAGCATATATACCATTATTAGACGTAACAGTATACATTTAATTTCAAAATTTTACTGTAAGCCTCTGTGAGTCTATATTTGGCATGCAGGGCCAAGTTTAGAATCCAGCAACATATAGGTTGCAGCAGGAAACTTGCAACGTATAGGTTACAGCAGGAAACTTGCAACAAATGACGGCAGGAAATTGTAATTTGTTTTATTTTGGTGTTCTATGAATTGCAGGTGTGGAAGTATCAGGAAACAAAAAGAGTTAAGTGATGGTGCTTTGGGGCGGATTTGCATGAATTGCAGGTTTGGAAGTGTCGGCATCTTTTCTTATGCTGTGTAACACAGGTCTTTAGATATGCAACACTTGACAATCATTAATAAGAACATGAATGTTTTTAATGGTCCTTGCTTGAGCTGAATTCATTGTCATCTATATATACATTACCCTGTTCCTCTCAACACATCAGATATCTAGCAATCAACTAAAATTTTGCATTCCATGACTAGAGGTCCAATTTTTTTAAAGAGAAAGAACTGGGTTGATGCCTGGGTAGTAAGTAACCTCAGGGAAAAGGCGAAAACATCCAGATATGGTTTTTTTCTAAGGTTGCTGCTGCAACGATTTTGGTCAATGTCATTCTGATTAGTTCTTGTTTTTTTTTCAGGTGAAGCTTTACCACCAACGCCTAATCCAAAGAGGAGCTGTACAATCTTACGAGGGGCATGTGAATTCCGATACTCGTTTGCACTTTGCAGCTTGGAGTTGACCCATCTGAGAGATTTGTCATGTCAGGTGAATATTATTATTGCTTATGCCATTTATTTTGGGCAAGTTCTAGCCTTCGACGTTTTCTTATATATTTTTCTTTTAGGCGGAGAGGACTGCAATTTACGACTTTGAAGTATTAAGTCTGGTAAACTGCCTTTCGAGGATATATAAATTCTGTAACACAATCCCCTCAACTGGGTGCTGGCGAAGAGCTGAAAGTACATACTCTCTACTTCTCTTGTGCTCTCATTCTTCGTGCCATTCTCCCCATTTTATTGACCTCTGATTTTCTTCTAATCCGTAGGGTTTAAGGGAGATCAGGATGACAGGCCAAATTAGGAATGCCTTGATTCCAAAAGTGATGGTTTGGGTGCATGGATTGGATCACGGATCACAGGAATGACTATTTTACATGCGCTGACAAGTGTGAAAGGTGGAAAAATGCTCTCACAAAAGTTTTACAAATGTGCAAAGCTTGGGATTTCTTTTGATGCTCGAGTGTAGCAATCTTAATGCTCACCATGCCGAAGCCATTTATGGGCTCAAACACAAGGCAACGCTACTGTGAGGAGATATAAGAAGGCGCGATTGTTGGTCTTTGCCTTCCGAGGAGTTTTGTTTTTATTTCCTTTGTAGAGATACCAACAGGTAGATAGTGAGTCTGAAAATAGTACTTGTGTCGAGGTTTGTATCTCCGTTGTTTAAGAGTATTTACCGCACACTTAGGCCAAGGTTTGAATCCTCACTCTCCGCCTTTGGTCTCCCTTAACACCAAATGTAACAAAGAAAGTACTTTGTAAAATGATTGTGAAATTTAGTAAAGTGACAATGGTAATTATCATTATTTTTCTGAATTGTCCATTTTAGAACCAAGGAATTAAACTGTGACTATTCAATTTTCATTTCGTGTTTATAGCTCTGTATAATGAGAGATTGTCTCGCAATCATTTTATAGTCTAAATGGTGTCAACAATTAATTAATATTTGTCACTTGTAAAAATGTGAATCACTCGTTTAATTTGGTGAAATGGTTGCAAGAAAGAACCTTTGTTTGTCATGTATTAAAAAAGTAAAGCACTCGTTTATTTTGGTGGAATGGTTGCAAGAGAGAACTTTTTCGGTAGAAGACCATAGGGCAGGGATGACTTGCTAACACAGATGGAAAAATCACCCACCAAAGTAACACCAGCAATCAAGTCATCCAATAAAGAGATGAAAAGAATTGCTTGTCTCCTTTGAAAGAAAGAATTGCTTGTAATAAAGAAAGGTACGAAAAGACTCTGATGACTTTGATCAAAAGAGACAAGCAATTCTTTTCGTCTCTTTATTGGATGACTTGACTGCTGGTGTTATCTTTGGTGGGTGATTTTTCTTTCTCTGTGTTTTATACCCAAGATTTCTGCATTGGGCAGGGCTATACACACACATATATATATATATATATATATATATATAAAAGTGTATATATAGGGAAAGGGTTGCTTGAGTCTTGGACACAAAAGTTTTCTTATTAAAGTGATAAAATAAGTGATAATTAAGAGCTCACTCAATATCAAAAGTGAAGGCAGAATTATGCTTTGATTCCAAAGGGGAACCGCCTAATCTTCCTCCTCTAGACGATAACACCATCTCAGAGAGCGAGATGGGAAGAATCATTAGGAAACAATTATGTGTCTTTGTCTTTGACTTAAGCATGCTTTCTCAAAGGGTTCTTTGGGATGATGGAATATACCATTGCAGATATTTTCTCACTTTCCATTATATATTTCTCGTTCACATATATATAAAATAGCCAAATGACAAAAAGAGATTAAGAGATCATCTGCATTGCACAGAGAAATATAATTAAGCCCAACCATATTATCCATCCATTGAACAAATTTAGAATTGATTAATTTTTTAGTAGTTTTGATGGACGAGTAAGGAGATTTGAACTTAGAATTACCTCGTCTAACATTTTGTACAAGGGTAACAATAAACTGATAGTTGAAATGATAATTTATGAGTAGTTAGCTCAAACTTAAGGTTTCGTAGTTGTTCATCACATAAAAACAAATATGAAAAAATGAAGTTTCATATATAACAATAACATGGAGCACATGCATGACCACATTTTATGAAATTTTGAACAACATGCAGAGTTTGGTCAATCTTTTCCATGATTATTGAAGATCATGTAACCTTATTGCCAAAGTGCCAAGCAGCTCCACTCATAAGCAAACAAGAGCTAGTAGAAGAGGATAACTGCATGAGGTACGCGACGATGAAAACCACGCTTTCATGGTTCTGGTTCAGCAGCTTCAGCTTTTAAAAGGAAGAGACTTATCAAAGACTAATAAAGGGTATCGATGTAGTTCCAATCAAGCAACAAGGGTTATTTAGGGATATTCCCCTAAATTTAAAAAGAAACCCTTCTTCGTTCTTCACCATTGCTTTGGATGCCAGGTCTGTGTAACTTTACACGCAAAACAATGGGGGTTTTGGGGAGTGAGGATCCGGCTTTTTGTGGAGAGAATATGACTGGAACGAGTGATACATGACGTGTCACTATATCAATGGTGGAATATGTATGCTAAAAAGTTAATAACTTAAAAAATATAATTTCCTACCATTTATATAAAAACACGTGGTGTACCACCCATGTTCCCATCACAATGAAAATTTTCTCCTTTTTGTGGAGAAATTTTAGTTGTGATGAGAACACGGATGGTACACTACGTATTTTTATGCATGGTGAAAATTTTAATTTTTAAGTTATTAACCTTTTAATACACATAACCCACCATTTATAAAGAAACACGTGATGTACCACCTCGTGTGACGGTCACACTGAAAAATCTCTCTTTTTGTGAGGATCTCAGAGATCTTTCAATTTGATCTGTTTATCGTACATCGTGAGGATAGTTTTTGTCAGGTACTGTTTATATTCAATTTTAAATAAAAAAATTTACAATAATTTCTGACCGCACAATGTACGATAAACGGATGTAATTGAAGAATCTTTAAAATCCTCACAAAGTTTTGGGAACCTTTATTTTCCTTTTAAAAGAGAATTTTAACTAAAAACTCGCGGTACTGTTTACTTTAACGAAAAACCATATTGTTACACTAAAAAGTCAATCATGGTACTATTCACTTTACCCTTTATTTTGTCCTTATCGTTAAAACTCAAAGTTTTCAAGTCATTTTCATTAGTTTCCTTTTAATTTTGGGAGTTTTAACAAAACACTTCTGGTACTGTTCATTTTTAACGAAAAATTACATTTATACATTTTCCTGATACTATTCACTATACCTTTAAAAATAACTTTTCATTAAAAGAGATTTTTTTTTTTTTACTTTTCGTTAATTTTCATTTTAATTTTTCCTTTAATTATTGCATATATTTGCAAGTGAAGTCTAGTCTCTCAAATAAAAGCCTCAAACCCATCACAATTTGTGAATCATTATGTCCCTTCTCTGTGTTTATCCACAACCCAAGGGAACATAATAGTTATGTGTAGCTAGCTCCAGCAAATAAAATGACACGTAATCCACTCACATGAGCATTCTCAAAAGGCAAAATCCAATTATTTTTTCTTACTTTTTTTCTCTTTTGACAACTGATACAAAGCAAAAAAGCAAACCCCACATCAGGTGCCTTAACTACAAACATGCTTGTTTTTTTTTTCAAAAAAGAAAAGGGAAAAACCAAGAAAAAATTCTTCAAATAAGAAACATCTTGTCCTAGTCCTATGTAATTCATTCCATATTCATTCATCCAATTAGTAATCGATGATGATTGCTTCATCCTAGTGTTATATATTATTATATGCATGAATCCATTCGAAGCGGGAAAAGAGCAAAATACTAATAATTATTTGATAGGCAACGCTAGATTACATTTTTGAACAATAATCAACCGCAATTATTTTATTATGTACATCCAAAAGAATAGGGAATGCGGGTGGCAAGAGAGAAGACAATTGTGCAGAAAACAAAAATAGCTTAATGATGATGACCATGAAGACCATTACTACTTGAATATGATCATATACATCCTACTTATAATGGCAAAATGATTGTCTGAAAGTTCCAAATATCTAGCATATACTATGGAATAGATTAAAAATAACATATGATCATTAAGCTGTAGTGACATTACAGCAGCGACATATAAATAAATGGCAGAAAAGACAGGCCACAAAGAAGGAGAAAATCCCAGACTATACGTTCTTTGTTTTTATTAAATTTCTTTCTCTTGATCATATATATCTACTTTGATCACGTTTGTTATGCTAGCTTCCTCAATATTACTCCTCATCTATTTGAAATGGGATTCGGACCACTTGGAACTTCATGTGCACCGGCTCTGAACATATTTTCTTTCCATGGGATTGGCTGCCTCCCACGACGAACCTGAAACCCTACTCCTCTCCTTCGTCCCGATTCGCCTGTAAAATCGTGATCAGCCTTTGAATTGATGATGCCGTGTGAGGGTCTTCTTGTAGAAGATTCCACGATAGCATTTTTCTTAGTGATGACTCCAACTCCAAGTGATCTCGAGGAAGTACTACTGGTACCTGGGATTGGCAAGCTATGCTTCTTTTGAGCCACGGTGATTTGAAATGTGATGAGAAGAAAGAAGAGGAGGGTTGTAAAAGTGGTGGTAGATGATTTTGCATTACTAGCCATGCAAGACGATTTTTTTGCTTGTATTCAAATCATTCAGCAAGTTCTAGACTTGGCAGCTTCTAGGTTGGTGATGAAATGAAGGTTTGGATTTGTAGACTAAGGCTGCTCATAGCTCAAGATGGAAAAGAAAAAGAAATGGTACAAGATTTGAAATGCTTGTAGGGTTTATATCTGCGAAAGTTTAAATGAGAGAGAGACCTAACAAATAAAGGGTGGTGTATCTACACACTTCTTTTTATCTTTCACACACATCTTTCAATTTTTGACTGTCGAATTGAATGAATTGAAGATGATAAAAGAACAGAAATTAACATAGAATATGTGGAAAGTAAAGAGAGGTATGTAGATAGCACCGTCCAAATAAAAAAGGGGAAAACAAGATGTTTGTGGACTAATTTCCCATGTCTTTGAGGATGATTCATTTCTTTAAGAAATGAACAAATAAACAAAACATCAAATGTAATCTTTCTAGCTTCTGTATTACAACATATTCATTTCAATATTATATATATATATATATATATAACTAAAAGTATGATTTAACTCATGGTTTATGAAGTTTAAGATAAATAAAAAAAGAATTTGGATTAGATATAAGATGTTATCCAAAGATACTATATATTTAGGTTTAACTTTTTCTTTTATTTGCCTGATAAAGGGACAGTTTGCTTGGTTTGACCTTTCTGACACAGTGAGGGCGCGCCTGCAAACAACCCCATAGTTCCTTGGGAAGAGGACAAAATAGAGCCCACAGAGCATGAGTCAGAGACTCAGAGATGCTTGCTTAACCCTAGAGGATAAAGGTGTCAAAGATTGCTTGTCATTTAGGTCCAGGATGATTCAATTAATGCAGAGCCCTTCTTTTCTTTTCTTTTCTTTTTATTGCATTGTTTTTTCAAGGACCGTATAAAGTTTCTCATACTGTGACCACCACCCAGCCACTAGGGGAAGGAAAAAAGGAAAATAAAAAACAGGCCTTGCGAGACTAAGGAGCTTCTTTCTCATAAACCCATTGTTTGTCCATCAAATTAGGGTTTGGGTCGTCTTGTAAGCTACATGTGATAATGATAGAAGGTTGGATTATCTCGCAGACTCAATTTGTTGAGGATTTTGAGTTGTAGTCGAAGTGTGCAATAAAGGAGAGCGGGAAGACAACATTTGAAACTGGCTTGGCTGCTG